TTATTATTATTAGCATTATTATTATTAGCATTATTATTATTAGCATTTGTGATAAATAATGTTTTGAATATATGAGATGTATGGCTTATATGTACAAAGAGAGATAAAGTTCTTTTCCAGGGCTTCCTTCAAACTCTTCACAATCAGTAAACATAATAAATGGTGCATCTACACAAACAAAACCACTCTCAGACTAAAAAAAAAGCACTACGATAAAATCAGAACTGAGTTGGAAGTTTTATTCAAGCACTACATTTAGAAATAATTTGTTGCCTTGAAATTAAAATAAAATAAAAGATTAACCAGATAAGGCCTAGTTAACTGGTTGCCTTTTTGGCAACGGCCTAAAAGTAAAAATTATTCTTTCCAAGTAAGATTTGCTGAAATGAAAGGGACAGTGTTACAAGAATTCTGAAGTATTTTAGAACCAATATATCTTTGGATTTGTTAGGGTGGAGACTTTGGGTCTCTGTTGATCATGAGGAGCCTTGCAGCTGATTGTTTTTATTATAGGCTCCAGAACTGTCTTTACAGTCTGGAAACTATTTCTTCTACTTAAACTTTAAAGACCATGTACCTAAGATTAATTCATTAATATAATTGCAAATGGAAGAAGGGGGCATTTGAGCTTAACATCTTTGCACTTGCTCAGAGTTGCATTTCGCATTCAAAGATATTTCTATGAAATACATGGCAGTTCAGTGAAGTTTCAAATTATTTGTCCCACTTATTTCACTTCACGGTGAGTTGGTTTTCAGGTAACTTCTAGGGCAGGGGTGTCAAATTTCATTGAGGGCCACACCAGGCTGGGGGGGCAGGGGACAGCATTGCTGGGGGTGGGGGTGGCCAGCCCGCTGTCACTTGTGTTGTGGGGGGCACCACTGGTAGCTAAGTACTAAGGCAGGGCCTCAGATCCTCCCTCCCTCTCATTATAATCTCCTTCCTTCCTTCCTTCTTTTTTTTTCCCTTTCTACTTCCTTCCCTTCTTTCCTTATTTTTCCTTCCTTGCTCTCTTCCCATCTTTCCTTATTTTTCTTTCCTCTTTCCCTTTCTCCTTTCCTGTCCCTTCTTGCACGCTCAAATGCAAAAGAGGAAACATTTCTCCTTGTGTTTCATTTTAGTTTGTTTTGATAGCCCTCTGCGGGGCCCCATTTTCAGCCAGCCTGCAGCCCTCTGCCAACGAAAACGGGGCCCTGGGGGGAACCACATACGGCCCTCCCGAGCTGTTTTCACTGGCAGTCGCACCTTTGCTGTTTCTAGGGCGGCCCTGCAGGCCAGATCTAAGCCACCCACAGGCCGGGTTTGGCCCGTGGGCCTTGAGTTTGACACCCCGTCCTAGGGAATCCAGACCTTGGCTTGACAAAATAAAAAGTTTGGGATGAAGGTGGGTGGGTGGGGGTTACAGCTGTCCTGACGCTCTTTACTTTCCCCTTGTGTTTCTCAACTGGGTGTTTCGCAGATGTAAAAAGTGCAGGATTGCATATATCATAGCTCAGAGTTGAGACAAGGGCACCATCCTGAGGATAGTAGGTAAAAATAGGATTGCCAGCCCATTCCAGTGCCTGCTATTGAAATAATAGTAAAACAGAGACTGTCTTTTTTAAAAAAAACTTTATTCAATTTTTTAAATTAAAGAGATAGAAACTAACAAAAATGAATAACTAAGACAGAAAGTCCTGCAAGACTGATTGTGCTGACACTCCTTTGCCTTCTCATACTAAATCATATTATATGATTTATTATTCATATAATAACTCAGGGAGGATCTGCCTGAGCTGCTTCCTAATGTTATCTCATTGTTCTGGACTTACAAAAGGTTTCAGCCCCTTTCCAGGATTAGAACAATGTGCATGTATGTATCTCTGTACATACATGCCTATGTATCTCCATTAGCAATGATAGGCAATTTTCAGGGTTACATGACTTTCAGTTTCATTTTTAACTAAAGTGAACTAAAAAAAAAAAACCCCAACAAAACCTGGAGACTTAGTTAAAGTATATGCACTTGAAAGCAAAGAATTTGGAGAGCAGAAATTTGTTTTCGTGAGCAGAGCTTAACCAAGCGGACAGTTTTTCAACTCGATTCAGTTCTGTCTCATAATTCCAACCAAGTGATTTTGTTGCTGCTGGGGTCAAACACTGAGCACACAGATTTTCTTGTGGAAGGCTCCCCCAGAGATTTACCAAGAAATTCAGATCCACTCTGTCTGTGCTCTTCAGATTGTACAAAAGGGCACACCGATCCCAAAGCATTTACAGGTACTCCTCAATTTACAGCCATAATTGAACCTGGAATTACAGTCATGCAGTGAGTATCATTAAAGCAATCATTAAATGGGTCACTATGTGACTGTGACTGAATTTACAACCCTTTGGCGGCAATGGTCTTTCAGTGAATGCCTTGATGGTTCAATGAACCCATTGCCAGGGACTGGAAGTAAATGCCAGAAACAGGCAAAAACAAACACACACACACACACACAAAAATTGCAGTAGTGCGACTGTGGGATGCTGCCATAAATCCAATCTAGTTGTCAAGTGTCCAGAATGTGATCATGTGACCACAGAGCGTGTGGACATCAGAATTCCAGAAGTGCGATGCAAACAGCTCTAAAGACGTCTATCGTAACTTCGAATAGTTGCTAAGTGAGGACTACCTGTATAATCTAATAGAAATTACAGAGGAGGGTGTCTGAGGGGCATACCAGGGATGGCCAAGTCACCAGACTCTGAACGTGAAACAATTTTCCCTGTCCCTAGGTTGAGATGTAGCCAGAATTACCCAAGAAAATTACTTAAAGAAGATTCCCAGACAACAAATATGAGGGAACATCTTTATTTCAATATTAATCTTTCAGTGACTTTTGCCTGTAATGCACAGCTGTATCTGAATGCATTATTTTTATATGGTTCCAACTTCTGCACAAAAAGAAGAGGGTGCCAAGGAATGAAATTCTGATTGCCAGGTTATTTGTGTATTTGTGAAACTCACAAAGACTTCAGAGAAGAAAAATGTCTCTTTTGGAAAAACCTCTATTTTGCTTCTGATTTTTTTTGAAGTAGTCATTTATGGTAGTTTATTCCTTCTTCATTGGGCGAGCTCACTAATGACGGTCAAGGTAAACTACAATTCACTATTGACAATTCTGAGCTGTGCAACAGGATTTCTTCATGGTGTTGTGAGTTAGGCCATCTTAATTACCGTAAATGACTAGTTAAGGCTTAGAGAATAAATCAGAGACAGACAAGCAGACACAGAGCAGGCAGATGTTCAACAGATGCGGTTTTTGCAAGAATTCAATGTTCATTCCAGACAAGGCCTTCCTAACGCAATTGATAAAGAAAACACAGGATCTGTACCACAAACTTTTAATCTAGCAGCAACAATCCTGCAAATATTTTTCAGGCATGTGCAGGGGCCGTATTTATCCCTCCTTCCTCTTGAATAAAGCTTGCTTTTGGCACATTAATCACGCATGAGCCACATCAGATTTACCAAGCGTGACTTAGCATTGTGTGACTGTAAACAGGGCAAATAGATGAATGGGGCAGAGTCACAGGGAATCCACGTGAGGATATTGTGATTGTAATAGCAACCCATTATACAGCATGGTTTATTGTCATCTGGAACTCAGGTCAGAATAAGACTGCAGTGCCAGGGCTCAGACCTGTATTTTACTGAGCTAATGAAGGAGTAACCCCAGCTGCCAATATTGTTCCACTCATGTAAAAGGAGGAATTCCTTGGAAAGCTGACATCTTTTTGTTTTAGACATTAATCAGATCCCAGGCACAGCTTGTCAATCCAGATGGTAAGATTGGGGGTGGGGAGGAGGGGGGGGGAGGAGGAGGAGGAGGAAGGACAGCCGAGTATGGAATAGCTCATAGTATACTGTACATGTGGAGCTCTAGCTCATAATGTACGTTGGGAAGATACCTAATGAATGAATGAATGAATTCTTTATTGGCCAAGTGTGATTAGACACACAAGGAATCTGTCTTGGTGCATATGCTCTCAGTGTACATAAAGGAAAAGATACATTTGTCAAGAATCGTAAGCTACCACACTTAATGATAGTCATAGGGTACAAATAAGCAATCAAACATACAAGGAAATCAAAGGACGCTCCTGTATGGATTCATTTCCCATCTCCAACTGCTGCAAAAATATTTCAACGCTGGCCATGAAAACATCTTCATTCCTGCTCAAAATGTCGAGATCAGAGCTCTCGCCAGCTGAGCAACGCAGGAGAGCCAGAACTGGCATTCTGCCAGCGGCCCATTTTCTGAGCACAATAGCTCCTGAAGCAACACACATTTTTTTGCTCTGTTCTAGACAGAAAGAGGACAATACAAATTGCTGAAGGCATTTCTGTTTTATCTACACCAGTTCTGGCTGGTGGCGGCCATGTCCCTCCAAACTCTCAACTGGGGCTCTTCCCCACCTCCCTCCCATCAGTTTCTTCTGTGTGATCCATTTTTTTGGCTGCAGAGAGCAAGGAAGGAACGTGGTGTTTTCTGCATGCAAAGCCTTCGCCTTCTGCCCTTGAGCTATACACCATCCTTAAATATACAGTTCCCCCATAGTATGATATGAAGCAGCTTCTCAAGACAATTCAGGGGAGCCCAGCTCTTGAAAGTCACACCACTATTCTTGAAGAAACAGCAAATCTTGCAAAGGCAGCTTATGGCTTCCTATGGTTCAATGGCTTAGGTACAATAGCATCAGCCAGCTATAACTGAGCAACAATACTTGACGGATCATATGCATTCTGCATCTTGATGCAGAGCTAACTGTAAGGCAGTGCGATACTCTCTAAATGATCGAGCTAACCCATCTTTGTGCTCTCTTTCCTGTGGACATTTGCAACCATCAGGCTGTGTATGTGACGCTGCAGTGCTGGACAGTCTCAAGTCATCGGCTCACAGGTGTGTGGAAAACCCACACACTGCTGCTTTGTGTCATACATTGTGAGTTGGCAAGAAAACAATGACATGCAAAAGGAGCAAAGAAACGGAAAACTATGCTGGACTACAAGTGCTGCTCATTTTCAGTTCTCCTGGCCATGCATGATGCTCTCTACCTCACCTACTTAGGAAGTGGAGAAATCAGTGGGATACTTATTGCTAATATATTTATAGGGTTTGCAATTTAAAAAAAAATCACTAACAAATTGTAAAACAAGAAGAAGTTGAATATTTTATCTCATTGCATGGGTAGATAGACTTATCAATGTAGGCTGTGACTAATGTGTGGGGCTGAGTAGCCAAGTGCAAAAGAAGCCAGGGCTCCAGAGCCTTAATTTGAGTAGGTGCTAAATTCATTTTCTTCTATGTGATTCACAGTACAGGGCTCTGTCCATTTTGGCTTTCCAGCCTTGTCTAGCTGGTCCTGTTTCAGCCTGGCCAGGTGTTCTGCCCTACATATCCCAACATCTGTCTGTGTAGCCAATCCTGACTTTCTGATCCATCTGTTTCTGTTTTTTTCCAGGTCTCAAGCAAGTGCCTAAGGAAATCTCACCAGACACCACATTACTAGATCTGCAAAACAACCATATTACGGAGCTGCGCAAAGATGACTTTAAAGGGCTCTTTCGCCTCTATGTATGTACTGCCAAAGACCCCTCCCCAATTCTGATGGTTATAAGTGCACCTAGCTGGGTCTACTCTGAATATACAATAGCTTCACTCAGGTGAAGCATTAAAATCTATTTGTTCTGCCAGGACTGGATCCTGGAACACTGAACTTCTGAATATGAATGGCCTTCAGTATTTGCAACTTCCACTTCTTTCAAACACCTGGGATTAAAACACAAGAACTCTGGAATTTTACTTACTGGAAATCTTGAGCCACTGGCTGTATTCTTTATCATCTGCAAGTCTCACTGCATTCCTTAAATTGTATTTTTAAGTGCAAGCAGTTGCACATATCTTATCTATAATATTGCTTCTTTCTTTATCTGTTACCTTCTGCAAGTGGATTTGGGAAGTGTGCAGATATCTTATTTGTACCAGTAGGAGTCTGGTATCTAATTTATCTGCAAGACTTCCTCACAAATTTCTCTAGCTGCAAAAATTAGTCGTTGGGATAATTATGGATTCCACCTTCTTACATCTATGTCAGCACATGCTTAAATGCTGCTCACATGTCATCTCTTTCTATGACTTTACCCACAGGCCTTGGTACTGGTGAATAATAAGATCTCCAAGATTCATCCAAAGGCTTTTAGCCCTCTGATTAAGCTGCAGAAACTCTACATCTCTAAGAACAACTTGGTGGAGATTCCTCCTAACCTGCCCAACTCCTTGGTGGAACTCCGGATCCATGAGAACAAAATCAAGAAGATCCCAAAGGCTGTGTTCAATGGGCTCCACAACATGAATTGCATTGGTGAGGCATCAAACCTTTCCCCACTTTTCTTTCCCAAAGGCATGCTTTGTATTTGCTCCTTTTCTTTAGAAACGTAAGACACAGACCCTGATGGATGGTTCTTTAGAATGCAGAAAACTGCACCCAATATTGTGTGGCATGTTGGTTGGTCCTTTAAACAAAATACGGTTAATATCAAGCAAGACTAGATCAAAAGGCCACTGCAACTCTGTGTTCCCAATGTTACCCAATATTTTGGAAATGCAAATATACATTAACAATTTATTCAGTAGTTAGTAAGTCAATCTATATTCTGACTTTATTTGCCTTCCTGGCATATATAACCATCTTCCCCTGCATAAATACATAGTATGCATAGAGTGATATGCACAATACAGTTGATGGGAGGTTGGGAGAGAGGGAGAGAGACAGAGACAGGGAGAGAGAGAACACAGAATAAACATTAATAAATCAGAGTGAATTGGCTAAATTTGCATAGATATGAGCAAATTAAAAAAAATCAATAACAGAGGGCTCAAAAATCTATTTTTCCCCCCACCTTAACAAAGAACTCTAAATTTGCAAGGCAGCTATTTGGAAGGAATAAATTTGGGTTCACATGAAGTTTGAGAGTGTTCATTTCTGTCTTATTTAGTTACTTAGGAACAAAGCATGAGCAAAAGAAGTAAGGGAATCTGCATATACTTTTCTTTTTAACTGTGTTCATTAAGTATGTTTAAGAATTGATTCAAGCATAGTCCAACAAAAGTTGAGCATTTAGAAAATATATTCCCAAAATTAATTTACTGGCTTGTGAAAGGACTTATATATGCCTGGATCAGCTTTGGGAAACTTCTAAGATTTTAGAATATGTTAAGCTGAGGAGTTCTCTCCCATCCCCCAGATTTGACTCATTTAAAATACGATGCCGTAATCAACAATATTCATTATCTCTCTAAAAATCCCATCAAGATGTTTAGGGCCTTTCCCTGTGGCTGAGTTTATTTGCTAACTACTCACCCTTAAGCTGGCAGAAAACTGCACCACCAGTAAATGTATGTTCTCACCTCCATTGCTAATCCCTATCCTGCGTTGATTGCATCAACTCAAAATCTGCTCCAAAGGATGTGGCCCTAAATACACACCTGCAGTTTCATCAAACCCTTCAGCACTCTTGTCAACAGGTAGGGAAGACATCTGTCAATCTCAGCACAGCAGCAGGAACAAGTTAGGTGTGACATCAGGGGTCTCTTAGGCATTGAGAGATCTACTTTGTGTACCCCTTCTTCAGGTGTATGAGTTACTTCACCTGATTTTGGGCCCCGGAATCTGATGCTTGTGGAGAATTACAGGATTTTTTTTAAAAAAAACAACAACAAACAAGAGTCACAAAGGGAAGTGAGTCACTTAGCATTTCCTGGGAGAGTGTACCACCATTGCAGCCTTGCATGAATCCAGCAAGACTATAACAATAGAGTTCTTAGAAGAGGGCTGTCAAACTCCTGGCCTATGGGCCGGATGCATCACCTGCTGGCCATGCCCATACCTGGTGTAGCGAAGGGGGGGAAAAGTCCTGATATGTCACGTGACACCACTGTGACAATGTGAGTTTGACACCCCTGTCTTAAAACAATACCAGAGGAACGTTATATCCCTATAGGGCAAATCTGCCGAACTACCTACGTAGCCATGGTCTCTACATTCTCTACGAGCATCAGACTCCAGGGCCCCAAATCAGGTGAAGCTAGTGTCAGCTCTGAACTGATCATAGCTGAGGCCATCTTGGAGGCTTCAGGGTTGCC